AGTTGGGGTGTTCAGCCTGGAGAAGAGAAGGCTCCAGGGAGACCTTAGAGCACCTTCCAGTGCCTGAAGGGGCTCCAGGAAAGCTGGGGAGGGGCTTGGGACAAGGGCAGGAAGGGATGGGACGAGGGGGAAGGGTTTAGAGCTGCAAGAGGGGAGATTCAGATTGGGCATTAAGAGGAAGTTCTTTGCTGTGAGGGAGGTGAGAGCCTGGCCCAGGTTGCCCAGAGAAGCTGTGGCTGCCCCATCCCTGGCAGTGTTGAAGGGCAGGTTGGATGGGGCTTGGAGCAACCTGGGCTGGTGGGAGGTGTCCCTGCCCATGCAGGGGGGCTAGAACTGCATGATCTTGAAGGTCCCTTAAAGTCAAACCATTCTATGATTAGTGTTTTCCCTGGATGCCTTTTCTGCTCTCCATCCTGCCCTCTCTGTTGCTGGAGGGCCCTGGTGTCTGTAATTAAAGAGTTGGGACTCTTTTCTTGGGGCAGACCTTGTTGCAGGAAGGACTCAGCAGTAAATGACAGGCTGGTGCTGGCAGGGAAAAGGCACTGGCTCTGTGCTGGGTTGTGTCTTGTTCCTTTACCACGGCTCAGGTGGCCAAGTTGTGTAGGGCAGGAGCATTTCTGCTCTGTTGGAGGTGAACCTTGGCCACCTGGGCCACACCAAGTGGCTTTGGGAGGCTTTTTGGGAAGCTGTAGGGCTCTCAAAACATTTCAGCTGTGCACCCTTCCTTGCATGGGTCTGTGAGTCACACTTGTTGCTGAGGAAGAAGCCCTCTTGAACCTGCTGCTTGTAAAGCACTGGGACCAGTCCAGGAATGAAACTGGAGAACCACTGGTGAAGGTAGCTGAGGTGTGTTGGACTAGTCTTCTGGCTGAGCTGGAGGGTGGATGGGGATCTCCTGGGAACCACAACTGGACCCGTGGGAGAGCAAGGGTGGTTGTGCTTGGAAGGACCCATGTCCTCCCTGAAATGAGGGCAGGATGGTGCCCTGGTGGCACACACAGCATCTCTGAGAGCCGTGTTGCATGTGGTGCCCTGTGTCCCTCATCTCATCCCACTGTCATGACTCTAGTAATCCCAGATCAATAAAATGAGCTTGGATACCCCTGAGGGGCCTTCAGGATGATGACCTGCAAAGCTGCTGACAGGACTGAGGCTTGGGCTTCCTGCCTGGGTTTGTGCTGAAGGAGTTGCTTGATCAGGAGGGGCTTGTGGAAGGGACAAAGTGACAAAGCCTGGGGTCGCTCTCCCCACTGTTCCCTGTCTTTAAGGGTTGGCTCCATGTCTCCCTGCTCATTCTAAGAGTTTGGCTTCCCATTCCCAAAGGGTTCTGGGTCAGCCCACAAGGACCCAGTGGGAAGACTGCCCGAGCATCTTCCTCCTGTAGCCTGGGTACCCAGCACAAGGTTTCTGGGAGCAGGGACTCCTGGAAGTCGTCACTTGGACCCGATGGAGGATGAAGAACATGGAAGGGGGAGTGTGGGGCGCCAACCCTGAGTGACTCCATCGTGTCAGCATCCTCTGTGGGGTCCTTTTTCCTCTTTAATAAACATCCCCTAGGCTCTTGTTTCCATGCCAGGGTGTTTTTTTTTTTATCCCTTGCTCAGCACTCGCTGGCTTTTCGGGTCTGGGATGCTGCTGGAGGGGGGGAAGGCACGTGTTTCTGGGAGCTCCAGCAGGGCTCTGTGCTCCCCGGGCCTCCCTCCCTGCTCCCATTGATCCTGGCAACAGGAAAAGTCAAATTAGAAAGGCACTTGGTGCCCTTCTTCCCAAACCTGCCCCTTTGGCAGCCGTGCTGCGTGTTCTCCTTGCCTCTCAGCGGAGAGTGGGAGGAGAGAGGAGCTTTTCCTCAGGAAAGGGTTTGACTGGGATGTGCTGATTAACCACGGTGACCTACATGAGTGTGCAGAGCCACGCGGGGGGCTGGGAGCTCCCATGTTCCCCAGCAGTGCTACTGCAGCAGGATGGGAGCTTGCAAAGCCCTGGAGCACATCCCGGGAGCTGCTCGGGAGCTCCGAGCGGCCCCTCCGGCTGCTTCCCCTTTTTTGGGGCATCTGTGGGGAGGTTTCTGTTTGAGGTTTCCTCTCCCATCCCCGGGTGCTGGGGTGGTTTGCTGCTTCCTTCCCCTTTGAAGGTCCCTGGGGCCACCTGCCCCTTCCCTGTCACTGCATCCGTGGAGGGCAGATCCCAGGGAGGATGCTGGGGGGACCCCCTTTGCCTCCTGGGGGCTGCGCGCCCGCCGCAGAGCAGCGCTGCCAACAGGGACCTGGGGCACTGAGGTGCTGGGCTTGAGGGCCCTGAGAGGGAAGGATAAAGGGTTACTTTAGCAAAAGTGAATTGCCTGAAGCTGCAGCTTGTCTCTCCAAGCTGGCTCGAGCTGTATTCCTTGGATGTGTCACGTTGGAGATGGTTCTGAGCAAGCTTGGCTGTCCATGTGGCCAGGGCAGAGGTGTCTCAGCAGAAGAATCACCTTGCAGAGGAGGTGGGCAGTAGGTGGTGGTGGGAAGAAGCAGTTCTCCACAGAGCAGAAGGGTGTTGGTGTGGGACCAGCAGGCTGGGAAGCTGCAGGTTTCAATCCTTCACTTTGTGTTCAGGGGGAGACCTGTGTCCAGTTGTAGGGATCAAGGGAAGGAGCATGGACTGGGGCACCAAACATGTCTCCTTTAGCTGGGAGCAATCCCTGATCACCACCAGCTTTGGGACAGGGACAAGACATGCTGTTAAATTTAATGTTTTGGTTTTTTTTTAATTTGCCAAGTCTGTTCAGGTTGTGACCCCTCCAAACCTTGCTCAGACCAGCACCCTTGAGAATAGGTGGCCAGAGGTGGATGGCTTGCCCTGTCAAGCAAAGGAGCTGGACCCAAGCTGGTGCCACCATCCCCCAGAGAGACCTCCAAAACACCCCTGAGAAGCAGGTCCTTGCAGTCCTCAGTGCTGGGCATGCCTGGCACAGCTTCCTTGGTCTCTCTGCACCTCTTCCATGGTCTAATTAGCATAACCCAATTAAATTCAGAGCGATTGCTCTGGAGCTGTGCAGCTGGGCTGGGCCCAACCCTGCTCTCCTGCCGCATCCTGGCCCAGGCAGTGTTTGCACCTCCTGTTTCCACTGCAGCTGATTCATAAAGGAAAAAAACACAAAAAAGATCAAAATTCCCAACATGGAACAACTCAGTCCTCTTAAACATTCCTCTTGTGCCATCAACTTAGAGCTCAGCCTAAAAATAGCTCCTTTCCCTGTCTGAGGTTTAGTCCCTACTCCTCACTGGCTGGTTAGGTCTTGGGAACCAAAAATATCCCCTTAATCCATTGCCAGCCCAAGACGAGGTTGTTCCTTGGAGCTTTAAGGAGCAGACCAGGTTTTCAGGCTTGTTCTTGCAGAGGTGTCACCACCCAGCACCCAGGTTAGTTGTAATGCCCACAACTTGGTAACTGACAGGACAAGGAGATGTCTGTGTGAGCTGAGCCAGTGCAGGGCTGCTACGTCTCATCACCCTCCATCTTCTCCTGCCTTTCCTCACATTTACCCACCCAGATTTTCTGTATTTTTATTTATTTTTCCACGGGGTGACTGACGTAAGATACAAAAACTACTGGCAAGGTTTGGTTTGGTATTTTTTTCCCCTTTTCCTCCTAAATGATTCAGGCCCCAAACCTCTCCTCTCCCAGCTGGCAAGGCTGCTGCAGCCCTTCCCTCTTGAACTTCTTCCAGCTCTTGCATCAAACTGAGCAGCACAATATTTGATGTGCTGTGGCCACAGCCTGTTCCAAGCAGCCTTTTCCTCACTGCTCCTCTGGGAAGAATCTGCCTGACTCACCTGCTCCTGCTCCTTGTCAACAACTCAGCCTGTTGGGATGTCTCTTGGCAGCTGGTGACTCCCTGGAAGGGGTCAATGCTGATTTTTTTTTTGCTTGGGACTGGATATTTTCAACCTGGAAGCCTGGGTACTGAACACCTTGCAGTGGGATTTGTATGGCAGAGGGATAAGCAAGTGGTAGGAACAGGAAGGGGTTTGTGTGGGATTTAACCCCATCTCTGTGTCCAGCAAAGTCCCTCCTGCCAGCTGGTGGCACCTGACTTGCATTGTGAAGGACCTGGGTGCCTCTAGGCACTTCTGTTATTTGTCCAGGCATCCCAGCAGGGAATTAGGGGGTTTGTGCCCCCTTCCCAAGGTACAGTGTGAGGCTCCCCAGGCTTTCCAGCTCTTTCTTTCATCCAAAATACAATAACTTCCCCAGCAGTGATTCCAAAACTTCTGGAGGAAGTGATTCAGGTTTTCTCTTCATCCTGGTGGTAGCAGCATGATCACACCCAGCTCCATCCCTTCACATTTCCTTCCCTTTTTTTCTTTTCGGTGACTTCACTTTTCAAGAGGGGTCCTTGCCTCCTGCCAGCTGGAATGAATGGAGGGTGAGAGGACACACTCATGGAGCTGTTGCAGCAAGCCCAGGGGAGGCCACAAAGATGCTCAGAGAGCTGGAGCAGCTCTGCTCTGGAGACAGGCTGGGAGAGTTGGGGTGTTCAGCCTGGAGAAGAGAAGGCTCTGGGGAGACCTTAGAGCACCTTCCAGAAAAACTGAGGAGGGACTTTTTACAAAGGCTTGTAGTGAGAGGACAAGGGGTGATGGCCTTAAACTAGAGCAGGGTAGATTCAGATTGGGTATCAGGAAGAGGTTCTTTACAATGAGGTTGGTGAAGCACTGGAACAGGTTGTCCAAAGAGCTGGTGGAGGCCACATCCCTGGAGACTTTCAAGGTCAGGCTTGATGAGGTGCTGAGCAACCTGATCTAGTCAAAAAGGTCCCTGTGCACTGCAGGGAGGGCTGGACTAGATAACCCTCAAAGGTCCCTTCCAACCCCACACGTTCTAATGGCTCTATGCTTTAGGATGAGGATGGAGACAGAGCTCTTAGAAGGCCCCTGCAGCATCCTCCCCCAGGTCCTTCTGGCTTGTGGCTCCTGGAAATTACATACAGGCCTTTCCTCTTCTTTCCTCTTTGCCTTCAGGTGGCACAAGCTACACTCCAAGGCTGGGAAGAAGGAGAAGGAGCGTGGTGAGATCCTGGTGAGCATCCAGTTCACGCGCAACAACCTCACGGCCAGCATGTTCGACCTGTCCGTGAAGGACAAGCCGCGGTCGCCCTTCGGCAAGCTGAAGGACAAGGTGAAGGGCAAGAAGAAGTATGACCTGGAGTCAGCCTCTGCCATCATCCCCAGCAGCATGGGCGGCCTCGACGTGGAGGAGGACTACGAGGTGGGGGGCAAGAAGTCCAAAGTCAAGGGCTTCTTCTTGAAGAACAAGCTGCGCAAGTCGTCCCTGACGCAATCCAACACCTCCCTGGGGTCCGACAGCACCATCTCTTCTGCCAGCCTGGGCTGGGCTGCCAATGCTCCCGAGGTGCCCCAGTCCCCCAGCAGACACAGCAGCCTGGCTACCGAGCACTCTGGTAAGAGGATAATGGTTTAATCCCCACTTCCCTTGGGATTTTTCCCCCCCATCTTCTTGTGTGGGGTTGTTGAGGCTTTCCTGCAAATCCCTTAACTGATTGCTCACCTAAGAAGCAGCATCTGCACAGATCCTCCTAGAGGCATAGAAGGGTTAAGGTTGGAAGGGACCTTCAAGATCATGCAGTTCCAACCCCGCTGCTATGAGCAGGGACACCTCCCACCAGACCAGGCTGTACAAGCCTCATCCAACCTGGCCTTGAACACCTCCAGGGATGGGGCAGCCACAACCTCCCGGGGCAACCTGGGCCGTACCTTCCTACCCTCATGGGGAAGAATTTCTTCCTGATGTCTAACCTGACTCTCCCCTCTTCCAGTTTAAAACCATGACCAGTTGTCCTGTCACTGCCCTCTCTGGTGAAAAGTCCCTCCCCAGCTTTCCTGGAGCCCCTTCAGGCACTGGAAGGTGCTCTAAGGTCTCCCTGGAGCCTTCTCTTCTCCAGGCTGAACACCCCAACTCTCCCAGCCTGGCTCCAGAGCAGAGCTGCTCCAGCCCTCTCATCATCTTTGTGGCCCTTCTCTGGCCATCAGCTCCATGTTTTTTCTGTGCTGAGGGCTCCAGAGCTGGACACAGCACTCCAGATGTGGCCCCACCAGAGCAGAGTAGGTCTCCACACTGACAGTAACATTCCTGCCAGGATGGGGACAGATCTCCAATGTTGCTTTCCATGCAGAGCTTAGGTGGGAACAGCCTCACCTGGGCTGATGCTGCAGGTGCTCCCTGCTGCTCACCGTGAGCTTGAGGGTGCTTGGGGACCATGTCTTTGCCTCCCAGAAGCAGGTCACTGACACTGCCTTGTAGCAGAAGGCCCCTGGCAGAGGGTTGGGTGAAGCAGGGCACGTTCCTGCTGCCCTGGCTGTCTTAATGAGGTTCCTCAGGCCTGGAGGCAGAGCTGGAGCCGTGGCCGGTTCCCGGTGATTAAAGCGATCAGAGCTCCTGGCGCCCGGAGCGCGGCGACTTGCAAACAAAGCAGGCCCTTGTAGGGAGTTAATTCTTGCTGTCCCTTGAAAACAAAATGTGTCATGACGTGGTTTAATTGGCTGGACACAGGAAGTGGGAGTCCCTGGGTACGTGCTGGTGAAGCTGCCCCCCCGATGCCTCTTGTTTGTGCCGGGTGATGGTCCCGTGTGTGCTGGGGGCACCGGTCTGGGCCCGTCGTCCTCATGTCACTGAATCACAGAGTGCTGGGGGTTGGAAGGCACCTCTGGAGATCATCCAGTCCAATCCCCTGCCAGAGCAGGATCCCCTAGAGAAGATCCCACAGGAACATGACCAGGCAGGTTTGGAAAGACTCCAGGGATGGAGACTCCACAACCTCCCTGGGCAGCCTGTTCCAGGGCTCTGGTACACTCAGAGTAAGGGAGGATTTTCTCATATTCAGGTTCAACCTCCTGTGCTCCAGTTTGTGCCCATTGCCCTTTGTCCTGTCCCAGGACACCACTGGGAAGAGTCTGACCCCATCCCTCTGACACCCCCTGTAGATACTGATCAGCACTGATGAGATCCCCCCTCAGCCTCCTTCTCTCTCAGCCTTTCCTCACAGGGCAGATGCTCCAATCAATCCCTTTATGATCTTAGTGGCCTTTAGTGGCTTCACTTTGTGGTAAAGGAGACAATATCTCCAAGTAGGAGGGGAGAGTAGCTGCCTGTGACCTGACATCCGGGCAGCCCTTCCCACCAGGCTCTCCATGTAACCCCAAAAATCTGCTGAGCATTAGGACTGAGCTTGGTAGAGTTGGGTTAATGGTTGGTAGAGTTGGGTTATGGTTGGACTCAAGGATCTTAGAGGTCTTTTCCACGCAGAATGATCTTGTGTGATTCTGTAGATGGCCACAGGGTCAGGCAGTGGGAGGGAGAAGCAGGGGCTGGAGCCTCCTGGCTGGTATCACACCGAGCAGAGTCAGAAGCTCCTTGTCTTCCATTCCATGCAAACTCTTAAATCACATGGAAGGATAAACCCTTTAGGTACCTTCTGGGTAGTGTCTCGCATTTATTATCCACCTCAGATCCTCTCAGACAAGGGGCTGTCATCTTGCAGAGACTCCCTCTGGATCCTGCAGCGGGAGGTGAGGACACTGTAAGGCCTGTAGAGCCACATACTTCTCCCCTGTGCTTTGCATTGCCAGTGATTTAATTACAACCTGGTAGAGCCTGGAGGGAGAAAGCCAGTCTGATTTCACAGATCTCTTGTTTACTATTTGCAAGTCGAAGATAAGGATGTTTGTCTCATTCCTGTGCCTGTTAACTCAGGTGTCCTCACCTCTCCTTGGTGTTTCCTTTCCCCCAGAGAAGGACAACCTGCCCTCTCCGAAGATGACCCACAAGAGAGCCTTCAGCGACGATGTCTCCCAGGTCAGCCCGGCCCTGGAACCCAAAGCAACCCAAAACCTGAAGCCAAAGAATGATCCCGTGTCCAGATCTTCCCTCTGCATCAACGGGAGCCACGTTTACAGCCACGAGCCTGCACCAAAGAGCCCCGTGTCCGTCCCGCAGAGCTCGGCCGGGCCCAGGAGGCAGGAGGAGGCCTTTGGCTTCACCCCCCTCCATCCCGACCCCCACCAGCTGCCCTGGGGGGCCAGCAGCTTGGAGAGGACGCAGCAGAGAGACGAGCCCAGGTTCATCCCCTCCCCTCCCAGCCTGGCCTTGCAGGAGGAGCTCAAGGTGTCCACGAAAGCTGTCACCCTCAGCAACCACCTGGGCAGGGCCAAGATGGAAGAAAGCAGCCGCTTGGAGGGCAGGCCCACTCAAGCTGCAGCACCCATGGTCTTCTCGTCGGGTGTGACAAGGGACAAGCAGCCCGAGGAGACGAGGAAGGAAGACAAGAAGGCAAAGAGTGGCCTCTTCCACCACGGGGGCAGCAAGGGCGAGGCGGGGAGCAAAGGGCAGGGGGAGAAGGTGGGACCCCCCCACGGCTCCTCCACCCACGCTGGGGGAGACGAGAGGAGCAAAACCAGCGGCTGGTTCGGTTTGAAGGAGCCCAAAGAGTCCCCTCAGAAAGCCAGGTCAGTGAAATGGGGTGTGTTGATGTCCAGGGCCACCAAATGGCTGCCCCAGCCTCCCGTGCTCAGCGCCTGCACTGTCCATCAGTGGAGGGCTGGTCCCCAGTGCCCAGCTGGGAAAACGCTTCCTTGGTCTTCAATATCTCAAAGGGAGGGTGGTTTTTCCTGGATCCTCCCTGGCTTCTGCCACAAACCAACTCCCATTTGCCCTCCCGGGCTGTGTTTCCCAGCTGGGGAAGGGAGGGATCCTCTTCATGGAGAGGGAGATGTTTCCCTCTGCAGAGCTGAGGCTCAGCGTGGTCAGGCCAAGGGTTTCTGTGGCCTTGAAGCAAAGGATCATTATCCTTTAATTAGCTAAAAAAGCTTCCCTGGCAGTCAAGTGTAGGATGTGGGACACAGTGACATGTCATCACATGGTTTTTTAATGAACCTCCCACCCCTTCTCTGCCAGTGGTCCAGCCTGGCCTGATGTGCTTTGGTAACTTGAGAGCTTATTAATATTTCTGAAGGAACTAATCCCAGCCCTGCTCTTTCCTCTTCCCATCCCACCCCAGCCTTCCCTTCTCCTGATGACAAATCTCTTAATTGTTCTTGCTTTATGTGATGATTCATCCTTCCAAACCCTCAGCACTGAATTTGGGGCACACCAAAAAGGGGGTGTTGGTGCTGCTTCTGTGCAGGCTTCATCACGATGGGGTGTCACCCACCTCCATCCCAGTAGCCCCCAGCAGCTGAGCTGGGGTCCAGAGGCCCACCAAGACCCCTGGGTGGTGGTGTCACTGCACAGTGAGAAGGAACAAACAGGGTTAAAAGCAGCCAGACAAAATAACCAGCAGTTGAAAGCTGGTTGAATCTGCAGGGTTGATTTATTATAGAGGTTTTCTAATCTGGGCTGACTTTAACCTAATTTATTAAGCAGAAAGGTTTTAATTCAGTCTAAGCCTCCTTTAATGAGGGAGGGCACTCGTGGTTTATTCAGCCTAACCAGATTCCCACAGGGGTTAAACTGCTTTTCAAGTGCTGCTCAGACCTAAGTGAGGGGGGTCAGCAGGTGGCTGCAGAAGAGGGGCAGCCCCAGAACCTCTCCCCTTGCCACCCCACAGCGAGATGTGGTGCTCAGAGTGGGCTTGAAGGCCAAGGGGAGGTGAGAACGGGCTGCCATCCCCTAAGGACCAAGTGTCCTCGTGCTGTGTGTCCCTGCAGAGGAGCATGTGCTGTTGGTGTGAGGGTGGGAGAGGAGCTGCAAGGGCTGGTGAGGCTCAGTCCTGCAGAGCTGGGGACACACAGGCAGGTGGGGAAGCTGCTCCCCCAGTCACAGACACCCCATCTGGTAGGGCCTGGAGCTCCTGAAGCCTTTTGTTGAGAACTGAAAGCTGGCCCTCATGGGGGAGGTGATGGGGAAGGGCTGGACCAGGCTCCCTGTGCTCCAGCAGCTGCAGAGATGAACATGAGGTCCTGGGCCTGCTGTGGCTGCTTCCCTCCGTGCAGATCTTCCATTTCCAGGAGACCTGGAGCCCCAGCAGTTACCTGGTGTTACATCCCAGGCCCAGGTTTGTTTCTGAGTGCTGTGATTGAGGAATGGCAGGATATTGCCACTCGGAATTAATATAATCATCTTTTTCTTGTTGTTTTGTGATAATAAACCTTCTGCTTAAGTCCTAGAATAGAAAAGATCAGGTACGAAAACTAAACCCGTGCAAAATCCTGTTTTGTTCAGGCAGTGACTCCACAAGCTGCCTAAGCCAGCCAGGCAAGTACTGTGACTCCACATGAGGCGAGATGGCCTCTGCATCTCCCTCTGGAGCCTTTTCCTCAAGAAATGGATGAGGAACCTGCAGGTTTCCACCTGCTCTGCAGTTCTGCCCTGTGTTCCATGAGTCCTTCCTGCCCCACTCCTGCTGGACAGGGCTGTCTGCAAGGCAGGGGTGTCTCATCCAGCTCCTGAGCCCCTGGAGTATCCAACCCAAACACCTCTGATGTCTAACAAGCCTTTTTTTAAATGCCAGCTGCTGGGCCCCTTCCCAGCATTATTCTTTTCCCAGAGGGTTTCCACTCTGTGTTACGGGGGTTTTTTTAACCTCCTTCAGTGCTCCCAGTTTCATTTCTAGCTAAGCTGAAGCTCAGCTTTTCTTTGAATCAGTTTGCTCTGGCATGCCAAGGACCCTGCCCACAGATCTCCTGTATGGATGAGCTGTGCCACAGCAGCCCCCCTGGCTGGGGTTTGCTCTCCCAAAACCAGGAATTGCTTTCAAGCAGCACAGGCTGGAGGGAAGAAATTCACAGGAGCCCCTTTTTTGGGGTGTATTCAAGCATCTGAATGGGCTTTAATTGCAGCTTGTAATTTGAAAATGGGAAGTAATGGGCTTAAGCTGCAGCAGGGGAGATTTAAGGTAGGCATTAGGAGAAGTGTCTGGTGGAGGATGGTGAAGTGCTAGAGCTGCCTGGCTGGGAGGGGGAAGCCCAGGGTCTGGGGCTTTGGGGGCTGGGATGGGTGAGCACCTTGGGAGAATGTCATATGAAACACTTGTCCTAGCACAGCCCAGGCTTGGGCGTGGGAGGTGGTGGCTGAGTCTCATTTGATGCAAAAATGGCCTTTCCATCATCCCAGGGATATGGACTGTCTCTAGTTCCTGGTTCCTGTTTTTTCCTGACCATTAATTGCAACGTTCTGACTTATCCTGATTACACAGAACTCTTTCAACTTCCCATTTTATTCTCCTTCCTTAACACTGAACGACCTCGTGGACCCCTCTCCTGACTCAGTCTAAAGCTGGTGAGGAGCTTATTAGGTCTTGATGGTGTCAGGTTGGGCCTGTGCTCTGGTGCCATCTGTGCTGTCATCATCCAAACCACACGGGCTCCTGAGTGACTGCAGAGGCAGCAGCTCCTCTTGTGTGGACGTCCCTCTGCAGCTGGAGGAGCTGTTCAGTCACCCCTCTTAACTTCCCGAGAGGATAATAAACACCATTAACCTTTGCTTTGTAGAGAGAACCAGCCCCTGAACCCAGCAGTTTTAAGCCTCCAGCTTTGTGGTTCCTGCCACCTCCTCACCTTTTTGCCCACCGTGGGCAGGTCAAGTTTCACCTGGAGCTGGACGTGGGGAGAGAGCACCACGAGCAGTCACCTTTGCAAGACCAGAAAACTCAACCTGTAGTTAGTTAAAAGGGCTGTCATTAGAAGGATGCTTCACAGTTAGGGTTTAAATTAGCCTGCAGCTGGGATGGGGTTGGCACAGCCTGTCTTCAGCCACTGCCCCTGGCAGGACCACAACCTTTCCAAAATTAGGAAGCCACTGACTTTGGGCTGCATTTAACTTCAGCTTCGTAGGAAGCTTTTCTGTCCTGTTCCCAGCAGGTTTTGCTGAGCTGCAGACCTGTCTGTGCTCTTACCTGAGGACAGGGCTGGATATTTCTGCCCTCAGCCCTGATTTAGAGTTTGTTCACTGATTCCTGGCAGGCAAGCAGATTCCCAAAGGCTGTTCCTTTCAGCCTGGGCTTCCTAATCCATGGCAGCTCCTGGGCTTTGATACTGGCTTGAGTGGAAGCAGTGGGAAGACAGTGTTTGCTCTTTGAGGACCCAAATAAAAGACTGGGGTTTGTTGTTTTTAAGGTGGTGTGGTTGAGGGTTGTATGTAAGGAAGAAGCTCAGCAGGTTTATTTGAGGCGAGGCCTGAGGCTGAAACAATTGGTTTAACTTTTTTGGGGTTTCCTACAATGTTATCAGAGCTCCACAGGTCCTGCTTCCTGCAGCCTGAGTTGGGATGATAAAATGAGGCTGCATCTTGTGCTTGGCAGTAGGAGAGAAGAGAAACTGTGCTCTCTCTTGTAAAAATAATGGTGTTAGTGCTGTTTGCTGGTTAAAGCCCCTTCCCTCTGTCACTGCTTTCATGGGGGAAACATGTAAAATCACTTCCCACTTTGGTTGTCACTTCTCTTGCTTAGTCTATGCCCTCGTATCCAGCAGTGAGGGCAAATACTGCCTCAAGACTCCTCACTCTTCCTCATATGCTCCTAAAAAGTACATTTCCTAAATCCTGGGAATGGGAAGAAGGTTTTGAATGACTGGAGCGAAGTCTGGGGACAGTGGGGAGCAGTGAAGTGGGCCAGGTGAGCTTGTTGGTGGGGTTGACAGCCAATGGGTGTGACAGCTCCCTCCAAAGCACCATGAGCAGGGCCTTCCAGAGCAGATCCTGGCTGCAGAGCTGGATGAAGAGGAGCAGGGTGTCATGGATGATGGTGGTGCTGTGGAAGAACCCTTCCCAGGAGCTGTCAGGGTCACATTGTCCACCTGCACGTCTGCCTTGGATCAGTCACAGGGGGAAAATGACCAGGGATGGAGCTGGACATTTCCCCTCTGGCATAAGGGGTGTGGGGAACCTGCAAGGGTGAAAAATGTCTCTTAGGATTCCTCTTCCTCCCTTTTGCCTGCTGAGCCCATATTTCCCAGGGATGGACATGAAGCAGGATTGTGAATTGGATCCCAAGCTGGCACCAGCTCAGCCCTGCTGAGACAAATCTACTTGTATCTGTGCAGGAGGAGCACAGCCCTGCTCCCACCCTGAGCCTGGGTGTGGGGTCAGCACCTTGCATCTGCCTGGGCTCCTACTGCCCAGATTCTCTCTCTGCTCTCTATATTTATATTTTTTTTAATTCCTCTGGTTTTGGGGCAGGTCTCTAAAGCAGGACTTGTCTGTTTGAATTGGGATGATGGGCAGGTGAGGACCAGGGGGAGAGCAAAGTGGTTATTGCTGAAGCCTGTGCTCTCACCTCCAGAATTGCTGTTTAAAAGCAGCATTTGCATATATTCTCTGATCCCTTCCCACCTGGGTTCCCACCTTCTACAAAAATGTCCCAGGCTGCTCTGCCCATCTCTTCCCAACCCCTTTCTCCACAAACCCTGCTGTGCCAGCCTTGCTCACACCCATGGGAGGGAATTCCAGCTCCCTGCCAGGCTTTGAAGCTGCTGCTGGGGCTTCCAGCACCCTGGGTCCTGCTGCTTTTCCA